ATTTCAAATAAACAATAAATTATTTTTTTTAATTAAAAAAATTTTTTTAAGTTTATTTATTTTTGACAGAGACAGAGTGCAAGCATGAGCTGGGGAGGGCAGAGAGAGAAAGGGAGACACAGAATCTGAAGCAGGCTCCAGGCTCTAAGCTGTCAGCACAGAGCCTGACGCGGGGCTCAAACTTACGAACTGTGAGATGGTGACCTGGGCCGAAGTGAGACGATTAACCTACTGAGCCACCCAGGCACCCCTAAACAATAAATTAAATATGCCCCAAATTTGGAATTCAAAATTTGAAATTCAAATTGAAATAGACTTTTGTATTTAACTGAGTTCACAACTCAGCCATTTGTATAGTTTGAAATGGCTTGTTTCTTTTATGTTGTGCTAAAAATGTTGGTGATCAGGTTTTTAATTACTTGAAAGCAGTGCCTGGCATTCATATTATAAGAGGGCATGGTATTTAATCAGGGAAAAATTCTTAATGTCCCTGTATTCAAAACAGAAAGTTAGGTAAGCTGAAGGCAAAATGAATTAGCATTATAGATTCTGAGTGCAGAGAAATGCTATTTAAATCAGACTCTTTGGAGAATCTGTTAGGGAAGATGGATTTGCCCTTTGTGCATAGATTGCTTTCTCTGAAATGCAAGAATGCTTTGTAGCTTGTTACAGGTACCCCACAGGAATCAAGAAAGTGAAATAGTCCATGGGGTTTTTAATGGTGTAGAATAAAAGTGATTTGGTATTGACTATGTAAGGAATGACATTTAAAGTTATATAGTTGATGAATAACAGTTATTGTTTGTGAGATTTTTAAGGTACCTTGTTAGCCTGAAGGTAACAATATTTATTTTGAAACAATGGATTTTAATTAAATATAAGGACCATCGTTTAGCCAGTTCCTTGGTTTCCTTTGAGATGGTTTTCTCTGCTTCTAAAATATGTAAGCATTACTTCCAGTTGATCATCAAGTACGAGGCAAAGCTGAATTTACTTAGGATCTTGTAAGTGCAATATGTTAGCGTTATAAGGGCTGTTCAAGTCAGAACAGCCAAGGACTAAAGATACACACTTGCGGGACAGCGCATAACTGGTAGAATAAGAATAAAAACTTGGGTCTGTATCTTTGTTCAAGAATATTTCCTCTTCACCAGAGTGTCTTTGGCTGTACTCCAGATTATTGTGGTAGGAATGATCAGTTCTTTCTCTTGGGCCATGCAAAGGAGTCATGGATACACAGTAGTAACACTATACTATCCAGATATAAAATATAGTTCTTTGAAAAAAATCTCAAAAGCTGAGAACTGGTAGAGCACACACACTCTCTGGGACTCTGTTTTTCTATGATTTAGGCTAAGCACAAAAAGTCTGTATGCATTGTAGTTGACATGCCAGTGGACAGTATGGTCTGAATGAACTATAGCCTGCCTAGTGAAATTTGAATTTCAGATAAACACTAATTTTTCGTATGTCAAATTATTGCATGAAGCGTACTTAACACTAAAATTCTTTGTTATCCCGCCTGAAATTCAAATGTAAGTAGGCATCTTGTGTTGTTATTTACTAAACCTGGTAACCCTTGTAGAGTTGATATTCACAATAAAATGCTTCATTTCCTCCCAACTGGCATGCTCTACACATTAGTGGAATGCAGTTGCATATCTATGTGACTGTGTACCTGGGAAGGCTTCCTGGTCGGAAAAGTGGCCTTGTTGAAAAGGAGCCACCTTTCCGGCCTACAACTTTGTATCTGACCATTATTATTTTGAGCAAATTTGGACCTTTCAATCGAGCTATCTACTTAGCTATCAGGAGTGGGGAAAAGATGACCTTGCAAAGCCTTCAAGATATGTCTCTCATCTTTTTAGGAAGCAAAGATAGCTTAAGTAGATGTTGCTTTTGTTTTCCTAAAAATAGAATAGTAAAGATGTTTCAAATATGTGAGGACATTTAAAATACAGTGTTTAATTTTGTCCTTAAAGACACAGGTGCCAGTTGGCTGTTAGCTCAACACATGTCCAGTGCATAATTCTACCTTAAAGAGCATTTACCAAAGGACCCTGGAATGTTCATCAGATACCCCATTAAAAAGGGCTATGGTTAAAAAATTGGGGAGACATCAGTGAATAGAGTTAAACAGATGTCTTCTATGAAGGGCTTTTCACAAATGCTTAATATACTAATGAACATTTTATATCTCCAAATTGGGGACAAACTGGATGCTGTTTTCCATTTTCTACTATACCTGATTAAACATGGACAACTCATGAGGCTATTCTCTAAATGAAACTTCAGGGAATAGCGCTCATAAATAGTCCACGTGTAAAGAAAGCAGTACCTCTGGACAGTCTTTTTACTTTTTTTTTTTTTTTTTAACTTTGACTTTTTAATTCAGTACTAATTTTTCCACTTAGTTAAATCAGTATCTTTAATTTTGAGTGCCTACTTGACAAGTATTATATCAACACTAAGAATACCAAGTTTCGTAAGGTGGAACTTCTGTCATTGTTTAGTGAGAAGAGTGTTGGTTTGTACTTTCCGTGGTGCCGGGAGACATAGCTTTTTGTAGTGTTCATACGTTGAACTTTGTTTCCTAAACAAATCCATCTCTATGATAAGCATTAGGGTGTTTTCATAGATTGTTATTATGTGTCCTTTTCAGTCTCTGATCTGTGAAACCTAGATCAGTGAAATATAGAAAGATTTTTAACCATTTTTCATAAGACATAACATTAAGAGTTTGTTTGGGTAGGCTTTCAGTTTACTGGTAATTCCTCCTTGGAAGATAAAATGGATTGGCTTCAGTATCTGTGCTTGTACGTGTGGTCTTTCTAGCTTTAAGAAGACCTGCATTGTTATGTATATAGTATCTCTGGTTATGTGCATGGTCTGGACTGCTTGGCTGCTCCTTCACAGTGTTGACATACAGGATAATTATAATTAAATAGAATTATGCAAGCTTTTTTTTTTTCTTTTTAAACATACGATGCTGTAAAGCCTCTATTTGTGTTTGTATAGAGTTCCCCATAAATATATAGGGCTTTCTGTGTTTGGTGAATTTAAACTTGTTAATTGTATTTCAATCGTTTATCTTTTTGGATCTGTAATATAACCTATGATCAATTAGCCATAGTTTCTTCATAATTAGACATTTGCAGTCTCTGTGCATCTTTAGGGAAGAAACTGATTTGGAAAAGGTTAAGGATTGATTCCTTCTTGAGTATAAATGTTCTACAATGTTATCCATGATCAGTTACTGATAATTCCTTGATAATGCACTTACTCACAAGTGCCATCTAATTATATAATGTTTCAACTCAACTCAATTTATCCATATTTTTATTGATATAAGAAATGTTAACAAATGCTTTGCTTAGCTCTAGATATACTTCATAACTTTGCATATTTTTCTGATCATAGAGATAACATTTGGTAAATTACTGAATATGTTCCTTATCTATATCAATGTAGTAAAGAATAAATTAACTTTTTCCAAAATTGACTTTAAAATATTCTGCTAGCTTCAAAAAATTAGTCCTTTAAAATAAATACCTTATGATTTCATTCATATGTGGAATTTATAAATAAAACAGGTGAACATAGGGGAAGGGAAGGAAAAATAAGATAAACAGAGAGGCAAACCATAAGAGACTCTTTTTTTAATTTATTTAAAGTTTTTTTCAAGTTTTTTTTTTTTTTTTAATGTTTATTTTTGATAGGGAGAGATTGAGACTGAGTCTGAGCGGGGGAGAGGCAGAGAAAGAGGGAGACACAGAATCTGAAGCAGGCTCCAGGCTCGGAGCTGTTAGCACAGAGCCCAACGCTGGGTTTGAACTCAGGAACCACGAGTTTGTGACCTGAGCCAAAGTTGGACACTTAACTGGCTGAGCCATCCAGGTGCCCCAAGAGACTCTTAAATACAGAAAAC